AAATACTCAAAGTCAAAGTACCTCATTTTGAACATCCAGAATTGGTGTTTTTGTCATATTTAGATATCTTTTTCTCCAAAACAATAAAAGGTGACAACAAAGTCTCTTTGGATTATGTTAAAGGATGACTTGTACTATAACTTTGATAAATATTTCATGATTTTACTGTAGAATTTTGGAAATACTCAAAGTCAAAATACCTCATTTTGAACATCCAGAATTGGTGTTTTTGTCATATTTAGATATCTCTTTCTCCAAAACAATAAAAGGTGACAACAAAGTCTCTTTGGATTATGTTAAAGGATGACTTGTACTATAACTATGATAAACTTTTCATGATTTTACTGTAGAATTTTGGAAATACTCAAAATCAAAATACCTCATTTTGAACATCCAGGATTGGTGTTTTTGTCATATTTAGATGTCTTTTTCTAAAAAACCTTAAAAGGTGACAACAAAGTCTCTTTAGATTATGTTAAAGGATGACTTGTACTGTGACTGGAATAAATATTTCATGATTTTACTGTAGAATTTTGGAAATACTCAAAATCAAAATACCTCATTTTGAACATCCAGGATTGGTGTTTTTGTCATATTTAGATATATTTTTCTCCAAAACAATAAAAGGTGACAACAAAGTCTCTTTGGATTACGTTAAATCATGAAATATTTATTCCAGTCACAGTACAAGTCATCTATTAACATAATCTAAAGAGACTTTGTTGTCACCTTTTAAGGTTTTGGAGAAAAAAATATCTAAATATGACAAAAACACCAATCCTGGATGTTCAAAATGAGGTATTTTGATTTTGAGTATTTCCAAAATTCTACAGTAAAATCATGAAATATTTATTACTATTATAGTACAGGTAATCCTTTAACATAATCCAAAGAGACTTTGTTGTCACCTTTTAAGGTTTTGTAGAAAAAAATATCTAAATATGACAAAAACACCAACTCTGGATGTTTAAGATGAGGTACTTTGAGTATTTCCAAAATTCTACAGTAAAATCATGAAATATTTATTACTATTATAGTACAGGTAATCCTTTAACATAATCCAAAGAGACTTTGTTGTCACCTTTTAAGGTTTTGTAGAAAAAAAAATCTGAATATGACAAAAACACCAACTCTGGATGTTTAAGATGAGATACTTTGACTTTGAGTATTTCCAAAATTCTACAGTAAAAATCTGAAATATTCATTCTAGTTATAGTACAAGTCATCCTTTAATGTTATCTAAAGAGACTTTGTTGTCACCTTTATTGTTTTGGAGAAAAAGATATCTAAATATGACAAAAACACCAATTCTGGATGTTCAAAATGAGGTACTTTGAGTATTTGCAAAATTCTGCAGTAAAAATCTGAAATATTCATTCTAGTTATAGTACAAGTCATCGTTTAACATAATCTAAAG